AATTGCGACATTCTAGAGTAAAATGTACAGAGTCCAAAAAGAAGGAGATTTCCGCAAGTTAGTTTACGTGTGCATTAGTAATTAATCGCGATATTAATAAATCGGCTCAATCTCCATAGTAGCATGCGATTCTAGGATATCCCGGTTTGCTCAGAATGTCACAAAAAAAAAAAATATTTTAAGACATCGAGAAAACGATGTCGCGCCATCTAACAGATATGAAAACGTAGCTGATTTGAGAAACGACGTCCTCGAGGTCTATATTTCCGTATAGAGATCCAAAGGTACTATACAATATTAAAGTGTAAAGTGTAAAATGACGCGAGAAGAGTTTGTCCCAATGAAATGCTAATATTTTTAAGAAATATTCTAAGAACATCCGCGTATATTCTGAGGATATCCCATATGCGCAAGTTATCAATTTGACGAGTGAATGATTAATCTCATCTCGCGGGTACACGTTAAATTATAAATCAGCTCTGAATGAACCCGAAGATCCTTGAGGATATATCCGCCGGATATTCTTGGGACTATATTTTGCTATGCGAGAAGAGAAATATTGGAAAAAATCGTGGTCGTTAAGTTCGTTCGTATCTCTCTGTTCGATCGAAAACAGGCTGTAATTTAATAATAAAAATATCAGTCTCTTTAACGCGCGTCTACCGGCCAAAACAGACGACAACGCGTCGACATAAAAAAAAAAAAAAAAAAAAAAACAATTGCGTGACGAAAAGACCAGCGGAATAATTCGCCACGTTCTTAATCAAAATCGAAAATCGAGACTACTAGTTCGTCAATTCCTGAGCGCGTATCACAAAACTACGACGCACTACGTCTGTCTCTTCCTTGTGTTTGCGTATTTTCCTGAGTGTTGCGACTCATTGCTTTACGATTACAATCGCGTGTCATAAGACACGAGGATTAATTAACGGGGAAGAAACACGTGACAACACGTTTATTTTTATAACGAATGCAGTAAATGGCGAATCGTTTAATTGTTTATTTGTAAATATCTTTTGTATATATTTTTTAAATATTTAGATATAATTGACTAATGTGATTGTCCAACGATTTAAATAAAATATTTATTACCGTGTATCTATGTGTATATGCAATTTTTTTCTTCCATTCTTCACATACGACCTACTTATCCTAATGTTCCTTTTAAAAATGCATCATTCAATAACATATACATATACGTACATACATAAGATATCTTTCTGGTGAATAAAACTTTTTTCTTTAAATTAAATAATTAAATTTAACATTTTATTAGATACTGATATTTTTTTATCAATTTATTTCGTCTTTATTTTTCTGTGTAAATGCGTTTTATAAAAATTTCGGAGACGCGTAAAACATCAATAAATTATAATTTTAATATCACGCAAAAATTTTCATCGTTATTTTAATAAATAATTGACATTAACCTACAATTTACCTACAATAGCATGTAATCATTATATATACAATACTATAATTATATAATAATAAATTTTATGTACAATAATAAAGATCAATCTTTTATTATAGGCAATGTACAAAATTCCTCGCATACACAGTATGCATATTCGTTTTATATCCCGATATAAAACTTGTTAACATTAACGTTAATGTAGAATTAAATAATTAGACATTAATCTAATGGTATGTACAATACGCTGGAATAATCGCGCCTTGTTTATTAATAGAACTCTGGATCGATTATTCTACTTTCCACCTTTACTTGTCCTCGCTACAACTCTCATTCTTTCTTTCTCTCTTTATGCGCACCACACACACACACACACACACACACACACACACACACACACACACACACACACACACACACGCACGCACCCGCC